GGGACTATTTGTTTAAGGAAATGTCAAAAAAGATTTGAACCATTTTAATGTAATTTTAAACATAAACACCATCAATTTAGTATATCAGTGTTGGTGTCAGTGACCATTTGAGAAGCTATTTAATGTGTGGCCTTTTGTAACTATCTACTTCCTCATCGAAACTGCTGACTCTATTTGGAGAACTGTGTGTTTCCATATATTTTTTGAAGCAGTAACAAGTTTAGAGGAGCTAAAAACAAACAAGTGCAGTGTTTGCTGCGTAATATATATATGTATATTAAGAATAATTGGCATTTAATCTTTGTTCTTACTTTTGTGAAGTTAGTCAAACATGACTAAAATGACTTCAAAACAAACCTGTTGAACAAATGTGAATTTTTAAATGAAATTCCAATTTAAAATGAGCAGGATGTACCGTACGAGCTGGTAAAATAAGCATCTTTTCAACTCATGGAGAGCTGTCAGAGTACAGAAGCATTAGTAAACAGTGAGGTAATCACAAGCCACTCACTGTTATTGCAAATTTCAGGCTCGGCTTTACTGTGCTGTATAACAGCTGCCATTGTTTGCTGTGTGAAGCGCACCAATAGCGTCCTAAAGCACGTTGAAAAGAAGAGAGAGGGAGAAGACGGGCCATTTGTGTGTTCGTCTGGTTATTTGCTTTTACTGGACTGCCACTGTTGTTATGGTTACACATCCTGTGTGTGTGCTCTGGCGAAGAAGACGAGCGCAGCGAAATGGACTATAAAGTTCATTTAACTCTTAGATGTGACAGTGGCTTCTACGCCACAGATATTAAGCATATAGTAACTTAAAAACTTCTGTCGAGTGGAATGACAGCAATTTTCTTGTCAATTTGATCAGATTTTCCTGTGGCATTTGGCAGGGCCCACACTTCCTCCTTTGGACCAAATTGCAACATGTGATATCTTAAAGTGCCATCTTCCCCCACATATCACCGTTATGTTTATTTTGAGTTATGGTGGTCGTTATATTTATATAACTTGTCAGGATGTGGATAAGTTGTGAAGTGTGAGAATGAGAATATCACATTATGTTTTTAGCTCAGAACTAAAGCACTTTTAGGGTGGATCACAGAGGTGGGGTCTTTTTTTAATATTTCATCACATATGTCTTGTAACAGTATGAATAATACAGAAAACAAGAATAGCCACTTGTACTTTTTTTCGTATTTTTCTTGAAATTAATTTATATTTATTTTACTATGGCTTAAACTAGATTACATTTTTACTTAAATGAGAAGTATTATCACCAAATGACATGTGGCACAGATTGTTGAAATATAATCTTAAAGGGGTAGTTGAAAGATAGAAATAATATTATTAAATAAAAAGCTGACACTGAGGATGTACTTTTTAAAAACGGTACACACTTTTGTACCTTATTTACCCCTAGAAGGTGCACATTAGTACCTTGAAGGCACATATTAGCACCTCAAGTGTACGTATCTTAATAGCACATATTAGTAGCTTTCGAAAGGGTACTGCCCCAGTAACAGCTTTTGTACCTTTTTTTCTGAGAGTAAATAAGAAAAACAGTTGATGCAATCTTAAAAAACTCTTCAGAAGAAAAAAGACATGGTTGTTGTTGCTGTGGCCTGTAGATCGCTCTCTGGGTTTTTATGGTGCGATTCATTGTAAATCTGCTTTGAAAGAGTATGTACTGCCAAAAACACTATACAAATGATGCTAAATCATTTGATCAGGTTTCACAACAAACTTGTATTTGCATATTGGGATGTCTTGTAGTGTGTTTGCACTGGTTTATGAAAAGGTTAAGGGAGACTGCAGTCAGTTAAACTTTAAAGGGGTCATATGATGCGATTTCAATTTTTCCTTTCTCTTTGGAGTGTTACAAGTTCTTGGTGCATAAAGAAGATCTGTAAAGTTGCAAAAACTAAAGTCTCAAATCCAAAGAGATATTCTTTATAAAAGTTAAGAGTCAGCCACGCCTACCTAAAACGGCTCGTTCTAACATGCCCCCACATGTCTACGTCACGATGTGGGAAGATTTGCATAACGCTGCCCAAATGTTCACGCAAAGAAAGAAGGCGTAACTTTTATTCTCGCTGTAGTATTGTTGCCGCCAAAATGGATGTCATGCGATGGCGTCGCAGACGGCAGCCTCAGTGTTTGGCTCTCCAGTGTTTGTACTGTTTTTGTTAGTTTTTCCTGTTTTTTGTTTCTCAAACACGATCAGTTTTACCAGGGATGAGCTGCTGAACATTCGGCAGAACACACCACACAATCTTCTACCGGATTTAGTTTATTCGGACGTTTTGCTGAACGTTGTAGTCGGCGGAGCTGCTGCGCTGATCAAGCGCTTCAGGACGCGCAGATGGGGGAAGAGAGCCGGCGTGCTCGTGAAGCTCGGATTCAGAACGCCGTTGCCGAGCATCCAGCTGGCGAATCTCCGCTCTCTACCCAACAAAACGGACAAACTTCTTCTGCTCTCCCGGACAAATAAGGATTTTTCACACTCTGCTGCTCTGTGTTTCATGGAAACCTGGCTGAATGACGCCATTCCGGACAGCGCGTTGAGTCTCCTGGGCTTTCAGCTGTTTAGAGCGGATCGCGACGCAGAATCAACGGGGAAATCGCGTGGCGGCGGGACATGTTTTTACATCAATGAAAGGTGGTGTACAGATGTTACAGCATTAAAGAAGATGTTGTTCTGATTCTAGAAGCGCTTTCATTAACTGTAAGCTGTTCTATTTGCCACGGGAGTTTCACTCGTTCATTCTCGTGAGTATTTACATCCCTCCGCAAGCACACGTGAGCTCAGCTTTACAGAAACTCGCTGATCAGATCACAGAGACAGAACAACAACACCACTCTGTTTTAATCATTCTCGGGGACTTTAATAAAGCAAATCTTTCCCGTGAACTGCCAAAATACAGACAGCATATTACATGTCCCACCAGAGACAGTAGTATACTGGACCATTGTTACTCCACAATAAAGGATGCATATCGCTCGGTCCCCAGAGCAGCTGTAGGACTCTCTGAC